CCCCAAAACCCCAAAACCCCAAAACCCCAAAACCCCTTGGTCTTCAAGGTAGTTGAAATTTTAATTTGAGGCAAGGGCTAAGAGACCCATTTATTTCCCTGATTGAGGAAAAAGGAGATTTTCTTGGGCTCAACATTGCTGTTATATGCCCCTGGACCAATATTCTGAGCCTCCTTCTGAACCTTCTCTGTGTGCCTTTCCCTTTCTCCAAGAGGAATTGAGTACCCGGATGGGTTCTTTTGAGGAGGTTTCGCAGAATTATAATGATCAGGACCAGGCGTTTGGAACATTTCAGTTGTAGGATATATCTGCTTTCCAAAACGATCTGTATTTTCTTGCATAAAAGCTGAAGAGAGTTTAACTGAATTCAAGTATTTTGAATCAACAGCCGTTCTTTGTTGAATACTATCTTTCTGCTCTGTGTTGTAATGCCCAGGGCCAGGGAGTTTCTCCTTCGGAGAAACTGGTCTATGAGGATCATATAAGTTCACAGGGTATATCTTCCTCTGTACTGGCTGCTTGAAGTTGGAGGTTGAATTGTTATTTGATTTTATCAACATCATCGAATCCTCTAACGAGATTGTAATCAGTCGGAGCAGGTCCGTCAACTGCTGCTTTTGGTTTCCACCTGACATCTTTTGATATGAATGATGATTTGCAGATATTACTTTTGATATCTCCAAACTTCTGCTTTGGCTGATACATGCCAACACCAGGAGTGTCCTGCTTAAAGTACAAGTTGACAGTGATCGGCCTTACATAATTCAGAGGATTATTCTCATTGAAATTAAGAGATACTTGTGGTTTTGGGTTGATCAAACCTCCCTTTTGACTTTTCTTCAGCTTGGGGTAGTATGCCCCAGGTCCAGGCTTATTCTCAGATTCTTTCTCAAAATATTTTTGTGTGAATCTCTTTTCCTTAACTCCGAATCCAGGCGAAGCCTGGGAAGGCTCTTGTGTGATAGAATCATAGTTGTAACTATTTGAGGAATTTATGTTATAATTTCTTGAGTTGAGAGTCATATCGTTATTTAAGTTTTTGCTTAACTGCATCATCAGTCTGTAGGTAAGACCCAGGTCCAGGATCAATGTTATATGTCTGCTTTATGTCATGCTTTGAGTCAAACCTTTGCATTGCCGATCCAAAGGGGTGCTTTTTCTTAATCTTTTTGTTATACTTTTCATAAAGTGAGGAATTTCCAGGAGAATTCTTGTAATTCATCTCAGACTGGGCTCTATGAGAGAACCTGGTGGTAGAAGTCTGGTCATTTATGGACGTTTGTCTGTTAAAGGAGTGCATAGAAGAAGTAGAATGGTCTTCGTTCCTTACAACAGTTGCACTTCTCTTCCTTGACTTTATAAAAGAGGCATTGTTCATAAATGCCTTATTTAGCTTTATAGGAGATCTTTCTTGATAAGCAGCTTCTGTAATGATCCTTTGGTACTTTGAAGGAATTGTAGCCGATGGTTTTTCTATACCCTTTTTCAATAAAATAGACTCATTCCTTATGGAAGACTCTCCAAGGAGCATATGGCTCTTTGAATTTGAAGATTTATTTTGAAATTGATGAATTCTTGGACTATAATGGTTATCATAAACTTTGTTAATTCTGTCCATTAAACTAGCTCCTGATTTCTTGTTACCCAATCTGTCGTTCAGATGGCCAATATTATCTTCTAGCTTAGGCTTCATTTCAATTATTATAATTTTATTTGGGGTTTTGGGGTTTTGGGGTTTTGGGGTTTTGGGG